AACAGCTCATAGAGCAAGAAAGGAATAAGGTCAGGCAACAGAAGGAGCCAGACGTTGGCGGCAACATGAAGACAGAAGACGTCAATAACTGAAAATAGAACATTATTGATGAGTAAGGAGCTGGACTGTTCCGAGATGTCTGTCTCTGCTGTTTTAGTTTTTCCTTGCAATGGCGAATACTGTGTGTTTTTTTTTTTTCGTGTTATTTTTTATTTTGTATTTCTCTCGTTCTTTGTTAAGGCATAATTATTCCTTTCATTTGCTTGATGAAAAATGGAGTGACAAATGTTATAGAGAGTCTCTCCTTTAATGTTTCAAATAGTTGGGGCGGATCCAGGATTTCAAAAAGTGGGGTTCGAACAAATGGGTCGCCGAAGGTGGACCCATCTGGGAGGGTCCGGGGGCATGCTCCCCCGAGAAATTTGGAAGTTTAAGTCCTCGGAAATGCGATTTCCGGCGTTTTGAGGGATGATAGCGGATGGTTTAATACTTTAACAAACTATCTCTTTTTAAAGCTATTTCATTAATTTCATTAAACAAGGACTACGTTCAAGTCTTCACAATAATCGAGATCAACTGACTCTTAGAAAATGAAACTAAAATCACTGTAACATATTTGTCTTCGCTATTTAATGAGTTCTAAAAAGTCACGCGTAAGATTCCTCAAAAATGGGGTCAACGAGTAACATTCTACGAGATTGTTGTTCGGCAAATTTCTGAACTATAGCATCGTAATCGACAGGCTTTTCATATTGAATACTTATCACAGCCAGGCAAGAGAGTCTCTCGGTTGTCATCGTGGTCCGTAAGCAGCACTCGACTAGTTTTAAAGTGCTGTTTGAGCGTTCGTTATCAGCTGATGTTACTGGAATTGTACATGCAATTCGCAACAACAGGTGGATGTTCAGAAGGATGTTGGGATCACAAGCCTGTAGATAGACAGAAAGTAAAATCAATAAATCTGTCATTTGTTAGCCTAAGGGAAATTTGAATATAAACAAATTGAGTTACTTCGAACCTGTAAGGCAGGTTGAAGCGCGTCTGGTTTGTCCGTCTCGGATTTCCATTTTCTCATCCAACGATCATATTCAATATCGAGAGTCTGCGGAATTGGGAGATCTGACATCTCGGGGACTTCAGCTATGTCTACATTTGTGCCCGCTACAATGGCACTTGGCACAAGACCAAGCAATTGCACGGCAGTCTTCTGAGTGGACCCAAATCTGAAAAAAAATCCCTGTGATGAATATTCCTGTTTGTTCAATCATGCATTATATCTGTAAATATTTAACGTTAAGTAGACAGTCCAGCGTTCGATAATTTATGTAGAATATCTTAAAGACATTTCTTGTGTGATGTGGTCAAGGAATGGAATGAACAGATTGTGGCGATAATATTCCTCAGATGTGACATGGGGTGCATTTGCCCTATGCTGTTGTCTTGACGCCGTTCTTAGAGCGCTTGGTTCCGCGCCCAGCTTTGAACTGATCTCCACGGCATATGCGTATCATCTTTTGAAGACAACATCATTCTTGTCTCGCAATTCTTTCAACTCCTTCTCCGTCTCCGAAATCATATTGTAAGCTTTAACAATGTCATTAGACTTTTTTTGTAGCTTTACGCTAATCGACTTTATGACTGCCAGAATTTTCATCGTGACCGTCAAGGACATGAGGAACTGAAAAGAACAACAGGTATGGTAGCAGCCGTTTGCTTTCTGGAGGGTTTCTCTGTCCCAGCTCCAAGGCGTACCAGTGCTGTATTGTTGGTGTTGCTGCTTATCTCAAATGACCTCAAACGTTTTAACAACTGATGGAAGTAACTATCCATCCTTTTTTGTTTTAAAACCACATTTTCATGAAGCAATGGAGTCGTAAAACACAACATTACGTTTCACGAGTGACTTTCCAAGTCGCCTAGCAAATGACTACCGGAAATCTCTTGAAAAGTTTTGCTTTTCTAACGAGTCGGCAAACTTCAATGCGATTTTAAAAAAGACACCAGAGCTCGTAATTCAAGCAAATCCGCATACCGCGAAGCATTCAGCTACACGTTGGCCCGCTGCCTATTCAAATTTGATCATTCACACGCGTGTAAGCTGGTGCCCGTGAAAGCCGGTCAGACTTTCAAACGATTTTTCAACTAGGGTATTTTTTCTAAGTAGATTTGAGGTTGTGATTTAACTCCAAAAAAAAAACTGAGACCGATTGCTGAAGAACCATCTGTGAACATCTATCACAGGTGTTCCAAGCTTACTTCACGAGGAAAAGCAAAGGATTACTTCATGAGAGCACAAGTCCGTCTTCTAACAGCAATAACAGTGATGCCAAACGATTGTTTCAACTAAGGAATTTTTTCCGTGTAGATTTGAGGTTGTGATTATCTCCAGAAAAAAAGAATGAGAGTGCTGAAGACTCCCTTTGTTAGTGTAGATACGGTGTTGAAACGTCCCCAAGGTCCCCTCCCATCTGTGAACATATACCACAGGTCTTCGAAGCTCACGTCTCGAGGTAAAGCAAAACATACTTTATAAGAGCGTAACTCCGTCTTATAACAGGAATAACAGTGATGGAAACGCAAGCCAAAAGCGGCAGAGAACACCACAAACCACAATGGACAAACAAAGAGTGAGTAGGTTCTGTTATTCTGACGTGTAGAATGTTCATATTTCGAAATATCTAGCGTTGTAGATCGACCATATTTCTTCCCCCATACTATTCCTTACAGCTGTTCAAATTCTCAACGTAACTTAACCCCGCGTCACACAGCGCCTGAGGCTTTCATTAATTTTAAAATCGTTGGCTTTTCTAGGAACGTAAGCTTGAGACGTAAGCTTGGGACACCTTAGTATAGACCGGAAATTCGCTGTTGCTTCCTTAGTTTCCTAGAAATGCATTGTTTGTCTGTAGTAATCCACAGTCAAGACAAAAATAACTGGTTAGTCTGCAGCTCTGCTGGCCTGAATCCATCTCTCATTCGATTTTTCTCCAGGCTCAGGCACCTAATATATTAACCGTGCTACAACTTAGCACGGTATGGAAAACTAGGTCATTTTCGATGAAGTACCAAAGTGTCTATGTGCGAGGTCTTTCATTACACAATTCGTCTAAGTACCCGAGGTCTTGAAGGTTAAATAAGCACGTATCACATCCACTTAGCCGATTTCTGCAAATATGTTTTCGCCAAAAGAACTTACAAAGCGTTTCGACTTTACCATTAACCAAAATAAGTTTACAGCGAGCGTACACGCCGAAAACTTTGCAGTATATTGAATCATTCTTCAAACTCTACGAAATGTCAAAGCTACGTGACAAGCTAAACCATGAAAAGATCGTCTTAAATTTCACCGCAACTTAAAAAGCACAATATTTTCAACTGAAGAGCTATGTATAGTGTTCGCATGGCGAAATTTGGCTCGAAGAAATGAAATTCCATGCTGCACCCACAATAACACTTTGTAAAACTTAAATCTAATAACAGCCCACGCAGAGCACAGATGTAGATTAATCAAATGAAGCCGAATGGTAAAAGGCTGTAACTGATTGCGGAATTGAAAGAGGCCTCGTGTAGCTACTTTTGAAACTCACAGTATCGTGACATCCTTCCCCAGTTGAATTAAAGATGCTCATGGTCATACTCTCTAGCTATAGAGAACCTAAGAGTCATACAGTCGAACCTCAATTATACGGACCTCGATTATCAACACTCATGCTCTGGTTCCAATTTTGTCATGAATATTTATTAGTCAAGATCACGATCCGTAGCTATATTCTTTTCGAAACTACAACGTTGAAAAGTGAAGTAAAGGCGAGTTAGTTTCGCTTTCAAAAAGCAAAAGTAGCGCTCGCACGCGTCATAACTAATGAAGAACATTTTTGTTCCTCATCAGTAGTCATACTCTTGATTATCCGGACCCTCAGTTATATGGACTATTTCGTCTAGTCCCAATGAGTCCGGATAATCGAGGTTCGACTGTAGTCAAGGCAATATTTTGAAAGAGCTGTGTACAGTGTTCGCATAGCGAAATTAGCTCGAAGAAATGAAATTCCACGTTGCACCCGCAATAATACTTTGTTAAACTGAAACCTAATAACAACCCACGCCGAGCACAAGTTTCGATTACTCGAATGAAGCCGAATGATAAAAGACTGTAGCTGATTGCGGAAGTGAAAGAGGCCTCGTCTAGCCGCTTTTGAAATTCACGGTAACGTGCCATCCTTCCCCAGTTGAAGTAAAGATGCTATGGTCATGTTCTCCAGCTATAATATAGACTTAGTTTCGTCAAACCATATAAAATAAGCGGCGTACAATATCTGACCCTGTGCTTTTCAAAACATGATATGTTTCAATGTTCTATACAGTACGTTTCAAAATGCGCTATTCAGTAGCATATTGCGAATCGCACCTTAGCGTGAGCGTATACACTGATGTAAATTGTGAAATCCCCCTTGTGAAACCTTCCAGAACCCCTATTAGAATGACTTGATCGACGAGACACCTCATAGGGAAAGAAATAAAGATTCGTCGTCGACCCAAAGCAAAATCCTATCTGCGACTTGCGTAAGTCGTCGCCTCCAAATAACATAAAGTATACCTATGAGCGAGCAGGCCGCTTATATTACATCCTCTGCTAACTAACTTGAAATCATTTCACTTATATTTTATCTAACACTACTTACCGAGTTAGCTTTTATAAATGAATCCAAATTAAAGGACGTACGATAACTCTGCCAACGTCGATCGTCTGAGGTAAAGTTTGGAGTGGGCCGTGGCTCTTCTTGGAATCAATTATCAACAAAGGTGTGTCTGCGTCTGTGGGGGTGGGGGCGGGGACATCAGGGAAAACCTTGTACACAAGCTTTTTTTTCTCATTTATCACATATAGCGAGTCATTAACAGCTGCTGAGGCATATTACTTGCAGGAAACTGAAATGGATTGTTCCTTTGCGACTGCTTTTGCCTAAGGTAGGACGTAAGCAGCTTATATGCCTTTGAACACCACCCCAGCCCCCTTCTGTGATTATGGCTCGTGATCATGTTTTAATCCGCATAAATCTCATATTCAATTCACAACCCCCAAAGATTCACTCCTTTTTTGACTCAGTACCTGAAGCTGTTATGGTGAATTTCAACCACAATCTAGCCTTGTCTAATAATGATTGATAGCAAACGACAGCGAATAACATTTAATGCCAGATGTGCCTGGGAAACAGGTCAGGAGCTCAAGTAATGGGCTTTTGACAGGAAGTCGAACGGAAGCAAGTGCGAGGCGACGCGAAGTGCGAGTCATGTGCAAAGGTTAGGGTGCATAGATATGCCCGCGAATAGGCCCTCGTCATCAGCGCTACAGGACGCATGGTTTCGCCACCCAGGAAAGTTTTAATTGAGTCGAGAATAGGTTTACCGAGCCCCTGGCACTTACATGCAGACTGAACTGCTCGTGGGGCTCAAGGCCTCATACTTTCCCGCAGGCGAGGAAAGCTCGTGCCAAGCCCCTAATAATGAGGAGCTGCCAGCAGGCAAGACAAGATAAACTACCGCAGGCTAATATCATAAAAGTTTCTCCACCTTATTAAAACTAACATTTCATGCACGTGCTTTGTCGTGATGATTACACCTTGAAAGTGAGGTATTCACCTCATGAAGTATTCCACTGGCTTAAAACAGCAAGAATGGTAACACAGGTTGTTTTATGTGAAATGAGAGTGATTGGCATCGTTCACCTCTTAATTAGAGACAGGTTATTACTCATCCCGGGGGGTGATACTCTAGTGATCCCCCTTCATTGGAAAAAAATTTCTATAGCCCCCCCCTCCTTCCCCTTTATACCCTGTTAGTGACGACTGACCCCCCCTCCGTTCCCCTAAAAACCACGTGATCCTCCCCAAACATACTCTCCTCCTCTTCCCCCTCCCCCGGTGATAAATATTGACTGGTCCGACATGGTTTGATCCTACTCTGGTTTCCAGATTTAATGAATGTAACCGAAGAAGACCAAACGTTTCGACACTCCTATCTAATTCCTTCATGAGGGGTGATCTAAACGCTGCAACAAGAGGTCCTTTTATACGATCACTAATTAGCTGCCTTTGATTTTTACCTTTGATTTACTTGTGATTGTAGCTTAAATTGAACACATAGAAAGGTAAATTTTCGGACCGATTTTAGATTTAAAGAAACAGGTTTCTTCTTCTTTTTTTTCGCAGTCTCAATAATTTCCATTCGTATTTTTTTTTCTTGGTGGACGACGAAGCCGCCAGGTTTTTCAGCGCTCTTTTCGGTTCGTGTCAACCATATATCTGTGCGAAAAAAATAGTTTATTTCCACAGATACTGTTACTTCGCTAGTGAATCGTCCAAATAAAAAACTGTTCTAGTCTATTAGCGAAAAGGAGGAAGAAATCGTAGTGTATTTCCGGCGCGGAACCGGGAGGTTTGCTTTGAATAAAAGCTTCTCGAAACATGTAGGAAGTTGGAAAATTCATACTGCTACTCACTTAACGTGCCTCCACGGCCGCGTCCACTCCTTCATCTTCCACTTCTGATTTCACCAGTGAAAGCCTTCTCTCCAGTTCTCAGAGATATTCCTTACTACAATCGAACGCCAAGCTTCAAAGTAGATCATAAGCGCAAATTAAAACCTATTCCGGACCGGGAATACATAATTCAAGAGGAAATATATAAACAGAATGTTGAACCAGCGTTGAACCTATTACTACCACAGTAGAGCGAAGAAACGATATGTCTCCCTCATTTGCACTTGGTCATACTCCGACTTATTGTCATCAAGGAACACCAACAGGGAATGAAAAGTACAGTGACTGAACATAAACTACATGATCATAACCTTCCACGACGAAATTTCCTGTTCAGTGTCCATGTTCTATTTGGGTTCAGTCACACACTTAATTGAAGACACAGAGAAAAATTGCTTTTAATTAAAGAGGAAATTTCCTTTAAAATCATCAATGGCAATGCCAGAAGCATAGCCTAGACATCTTCCAGAGACAAGTGGAATTTTACACCTCTGTGCTCTGGAGATTCTCTAATTTAGAAGCATTCTTGATGTCCTCCCTCTGAACTTCATCTTGTCCAATTATATACCAAGGTGTAATTTGAACTTCAGGTCTTGACTTTTATACTTCCACTTAGTGTTCAAGTGACAAATCTTGTTTGTTTCTCTTCAGTACAAAGGTACTTGTCCTAAACTACCACAGAGAGAAAGGTGCTATATGGGGCTTCCTGTGAAATATTTGTAAAGAAGCATTTAGGAAATATTAAAACAAAACAATATAAATAATCTGGACAATCCATAGAATAACATGTTTATAATATTAAATTATTACAAATTATATAGAATAAGACATTTTCGGTTAAACATGGTTGCTACAGCCATAGGTTTTTGAAATTCCCCAACAACTTTAAAATTTCCCTGACCAATTTTATGATTTCCCAAATTGGCTCTAGCGTTGACCTCCAACTACCCTCACAACCATTCTCTCCACCCAATTATTTATTAATATGATTTCAGTGAGTCTCATGCAAGGCAGATAAATTTATAGTTCCTTGAAAAAGGATTGATTTTGTTGGAAACCTAACACCTGCACCTCTTAATTTTTATGTACCAATATTTTAACAGTCCAGCGCGTTTGTTGTCTGCTTTTTGTACATTACAATTCAGTCTGGAATTTGATAGATGAAGGAAGAGCTATTAGGTGGATATGCTACAGTCTGTACCACTTAAACCAAATTATATTTTTGTTCTATGTAAACCAATTTATTTACATTTCATGTCTATAAAAACCTACTTAAATACTTGAATTTGTAAAAAAAAAATATTTTATCTAACTTCTCTGAAAAACATAAATTTTCACTGAATTAGTGTGGAGTTCCCTGAGTTTTCCCTGACCTTGAAGGACCCTTTTTTTCCTAACCATTTCCTGACTTGTGGGAAGATAAAGTTAAACTTGTACTTGAGCCAAGTTGCCCACCAAGCCAGAGTTTGTCTTCAGCTTGAAGCAACTAGAAGCCAAACCAAGGTCAACCCTCAAACGGAAAATAACATTCGATAACAGCGGGCTCTCGTTAGACAAAGAACTGTCGCTTAGTTTTGTTAAATACTTAAGTTCTGTTTGGGTAATAACTGCATAATGAAACGAGCCATCGTTGTTTTAAAAAAGGTTTCCTTACAAACTAAGTATTGTGCAGTGATATGAAATCTAAATTAGACAACAATGTTCGAATGATAAACAGAAAGATTAAAAGCATCGTAGGCACACAAAATGGCGGTTGGCGACTGATTAAGCGGTAAATCTAAACCATCCCATGTACCTTTTTCCTGCAGATTGCATCACGATGTTAACAGATGCATCGAAAGAAAATAAATTGAAGAACCGTTACATAATGTTCTGGACTCCGGAAAAACTCATTTACTGACCTAGACTTTAAGGCAAAGTTGAAAAACATACCTGAACCAAACGTGTCAATTCAACTGTTCTGTTATTTCTGTGCCAAAAATTTCGCCTCTATCACTCCTTGATGACCACCATTTTGAGTACACGCGAAGACTAGTATCTATTAACTAATTTCCAATAGAATTATCGGTACATACGGCGGGTAATAACGAATAAACAGTGAACATTTTGAATCGGGTACAAAAACCCTCGATTGCCGAAATGCTCGCTATGTTGTGACGTCACGTGGTTATCAAATCTGATAAATATCCCGAACTGGTTACGTTAATCAAAAGAAACTGTATTATAGTTCTGTGTCGGCGGGGGAAGGGAGAGGGAGGGGAGTATCAGGGAAGGGGGGGAAGGGTATTACAAGATTGTTTGGTTTTACCAACTGAGTTGATAAAGTGAACCAACCACCGTAAAGAGTTTCTTTGGCGTGTCGAGCATTAGTCCTTCGTCAGGGCGTCTGCTAACACTAGAAACGGCAAAACCAGAGAAACAAATCAAGTAAAAACAAAAAAATAAAATGACCAAAACGAAACAACTCGGTGAAACGAATTTAAAAAATAAGTTAAAAGCAGTCAATAACAAGCCTGTCTACCCCGAAGAAGATCGAAAACGTCGAAAACGTCAGAAACTGATCTTGGCTAACATCCCGGGCGATGTAGAGGGGGAGGGGGGAATTGAGCGCAATGAACAACTCTTTAACGATTTTATAATGCTTAAGTGCTTTTAATGGTTAACAATGGTTATAACAGTCTAATATGCGTATATAATAACGTTTTTTTACTTTTTTTTTAATAAGAATATTCGAAAAAGTAAGATCTTTACAGCTACGGTTCTAAACTGGGACAAAAGATCTAAAGAAGAAACTTAGACGGGAAATACTGACTATATGCGTGTAATTAGGTATAGGTAGGTTATATCACTTCAAAGAATTGAAGGCCTATATATGATGACTAACATTCATGAACTAATCTGGTTGTAGGTGAGTCTGTTTTTACTCACATTCTATCAGGGAAACAATGTCCTTCCAATGGAGACAGACACTATACTAAAAGAGACACTGATTTCATCCTATAATCAAACCAAACTTTGACAGATGCAAGTGTCTTTTTAGTAAAGTACTCTTTCCATTATCATGGCTGCGTTGGTCATCATCATGACCAACATAATTATGGTTCCACAGATGATAACTTTACCACCTGAGATGTCAGCAGTACCATTCCAGTTTGGAGGCTTGTCAGACACTGCCAGTGTCTGGGTGCTGGTGCAGGCTTTATTAGAACACGAGGCTAAGCTCTTCACCCAGACATTGTGTCCATCCACTTTCAAAGGTAGCACTCCCTGTTTTACAGCAGAGGTAAATTCTTCGATGGTTTGCTTGAAGTTGACAGATGGAGCGGATGTAAAGGCGATACCCAGGGCTTTCTTATCAGCTAATAAGACGACAATTTCCAGGTTTTCTGGATCTTGAACTCTCCCAGTATAGGCAAGCCAGTCCATTACATCTGAGTTCCACTTCAAGGCACTCGCAATGGCTGAGCCAACTCCGTCCGCGAATCGATTTTGAGCATTAGATTCAGGAAGATTGTTAGTTGAGCGCCTTGATCGCAGCAAAAACTTTTCAATCTTCAGCTTGATCACTTTGACTGGGCTATCTTCCAGCTCTATGGATCTGTAGCATTTCCTGATGTTAGAATACCATGTACACTTCTCTCCTATATTCCACATTCCCTTGAGAGATTCCAAGACTGTGTCGACTTTGACAAAGGAGCCCTTGATGGACCAAAAGATCTGGAGGTAATTGGAACAGTCAAGATCACAGGCAGACAGTACACCATTTCCTGGATTCAGGTAACATGGTGTTTGAGAGGCAAACGCCCTTTCTTGTATCTCCCCACAGGTTGAATGGATCCATGGCCGCAGTAGTGGCATCAGTGAGACTTGGAGGCATTTATGAACTCCAATAACCCAGTTTCGCGCGATTAAACTGAATTTTGCAAAGTTTTTGTCATCAAGCTTGCAAAAATGTTCAGCGTATTTGATTGCATATCCATTACTTGTGAATTCACAGGGATACTTTCTCTCCAAGCAGTTGCGATACCAATAACAGGAATCCCCTGGTGGAATATAGCACTTAGAAGGCAGTAATGTGGTAGGCGTGAGAGTGCTTGGATTGCCGGAAGTACAGGAACAATCACTCGCCACTGATCCATTTCCCTTGCCATGCACTTCCAGCATACACGGATACCAGCAGTAGGTTGCAGCTCGGTCTTCACAGTGGTCTTTTTGGTTGCCCTTTTGCTGGATGTATGCATCCGTCAAGCACGTCATCCACTGGTATTCGTCATTGTAGCTGCGCATTTGAATGCAATCAACACCCCCAGGGGGTCCAGAAAACTTGTTACACTGGGCAGCCCATCCCAATTTAACCACAAGTAAAAGCATAGAAGTAATAGCTAGCATCGTTCAAACCGAGAACCTGGGAAATGTAATTAGGCCATTTTAATATTAAGTATC